AGCCTTCTCCTTGTCCGTTGATACAAGGTCACCATTCTTGTGGCAAGAGACCCTTAGAAACATTACAATTTCATAAAAATGGAATCCTTCAAAACATAAAATAATACCAAAGTGCTTTTTGACACAGTCCATATTCTAGGCTTAGGCATCCAATTAAAAAAATTAAATTAATGTGGGGTTTTTTTTCTGGTTTTAGATCACTGGTTTTACACTACAATTTGCGAAAAGGCTGCAAGTAAACCTCCTTGTGAAGCCTGCACCAAAAATTGAGTAAGTATTACTTCCTTATTTTGTTTTTAAAGACTTTTTTCAAGAGGGCTTATTAGCCTATGAGAGTGCCAGTAGAAATGGTTGGGAAAAGAAGGAACAAAAATACTTTCCCAAACCTTTTTCATCTTGCTTGCAAAAATTTTAGTCATAACTTTTCAGAGAACATAAATTTCAGCAAAAGAGCAAGCCTTCTTGAGCAAGGCACTGCCCAAGTATTTTAACACACACTTGATTTCTCCACAGAAGCTTACAAAGCAACATGTTCTTAAAAATAACATTCTTACAAACCCCAAATGGGTGTCATGAGGATGAACTAGGAGGCAAAATGTATTTTCTGTAATAAATCCAACGAGAGAGACATTTTATGTATGCTCTGTCACTAGATGGATTTTATCACAACAGTTGACGGGTCTCTAGCTGTTTCTTTTCTCTTCAGTGGCCCAAATGTACATGTACAGACGTGCATTTTGGCATCCTGTACATCTGGCAGGTGAACACCACACAGATCTTCAGACCCTCCCACCAACACCTAGCTGTGTCCAGCCTTTCTTCTTTCTGACTACCCACATATGGAAGACTAGACAAAAAAGAGATGGTTACCTGATATGTGAAATGGCTGTTATTAATCGTAGGCTTATCTTTTTTCAGTCCAAAACTATACTAAAAAGGTACAACTGGAAGGTAGAAATGTAGTTAGAAGAGAAGAAAAATATTTAAGTAGAGACTGGGCTTATGCACCAAACTAAAGGTAACATGCCATACCTATTTTATTTTCTCATTTCAGAGCTTTATCAAAAGTTCAAAAACCTTATATTTTTCCTCTTCTTTGGCTAAATGAGGTTAGTATATTTTCTTTCTATTAATCTTCACTGTTTAAAAAAAAAAGAAAAAAAAAGAGGCCTAGCTTTTTCAGTCCTGCTGCCCTGAAATTGGGCAATTAAACTCATGCTGTGATTTGCACATGCCAAGAATATATTCAGCAAGTGAGGTTTTGCATACTTACCTTTCACTGACATTTTTCTTGCACTGTTTCAGTCTGCTGTTATCGGGGATGCAAAAGCAGAAATGTTCAGAAAAAAAGTCACTGGTCGGGTCCAGATGCTGAGTGTGCTGCAGATGGTGTTAATGATTGCAGGTTCTGTGCTGTTCCTCGCATTCATGGGTTCCTATTTCATATGCAGATCAAAGAAATTAAAATAAGTAAGTAAAGCACTAATGGCTTAGTCCTCTGCAGTAACTTCTCCTCAGTTTCAAGAAGTTCAGAATCATTACCTATTTAGCTGTTCCTATTTTTTAAGTACTAGCAAATTCAGCAGTTGTTCTGTGGGAAATTATCCAGATAATTTAGGTAATGTTTTAAAATTCTTTTCCCAGCCTTAGTATTTCAGGATGCTCTTAACACACCCAGGAGAGGGTATTGGGAACTATATCAGAAGACCAACTTTTTTTTTATTCCAAAACACAACATGATTGTCGTGAGTTTATGAAAATAGGCATTTTAACCAAGACTGCTAAAGTGTTCAGAAGTGCCCTCTAGTACCTCTCTGGGACAGAGGCCACACAGCTGTAGATTCCTGTGCTCTTCCAGGACATACCCCTCTCTGGTGTTCAGAGAACCCACTGTAAATGACATTTTTTACTGAGTGATGGATAGGGTTTCTCACTTCCTTCTCTCAGTTGTGCATCACTGTCATGTTAGTCTAAACATCTCTTGAACATATCTAGCCAACTAAGTCTAAATATACTCCCATCATGGGTAAAATAACAAAGTGGTAGATTAATGCACTGACTTCTAGGGGAACAAACACATTTTTGGAGTGATTTAAATGAAGTGCAGAGACATGAATGTTATGGTGAAAAGTATGCTCTAGTAAAGAGATATTTTAAGAAGAAGACTTACCTCATCACATGCTGAATTCTGATTTTATTTCACAACAGGTAACAAAAGACTTCAGAGGTAGGCAATGTTTAATGGAAATTTCAGCCAAGCAACACGTTAAAATTCAGAGACAAAAGATACGATGCAAGGCACAGTCAGTCTACATGCTATGGAATTCAACATGCTTTTCCATTTTGAGAAGACCAACTCACTAACCCGAATAAGCTGATGTTTCCAAAGGTCCACACTTCTGACATCACTAAAGAGGCCACCATGGAAACTAGGCTTTCAAATGACTTTGATTATTTGAACCTTGCTACATATTTTAAATGACATTCAAGCAGACTGAAGTTGAGATGCAGCTGGATTTTAGTCCACCTTCTGCCATTTATGCAACTTGCTACTTTTTTTCTTCTGGGATTTGCAAGACAAATGAAAGCCATTTGCTGATGTTCTGTCTCTGAGCACAGGCTGGGAATGACAACACCTTTGAGCTCATGCTGTGCTCTGGATGTTCCCATTGCAATGTTTCTTTCTGTTCCTTCAAGGAATGGAAGCTGCTGCAATAGAACTGCTCTCTGTCCTTTATTCAGGGATGTGAATCGCATTGAATGTGAAGTTTATTTTGAAAATTACTAACTGTAATACATGGAGTTAATAAAAGACTTACTAAAACACGTGTTTTATACATTTTATATGGAGATGGCTCATAGATACACCACAGTCATTCATATGTTGATGGAGCTCATCAACATTTGGCTCCACAGCTGTTTAGCAAACAGAGCTACTCCCTAACTCCCAACCTGCTCCACTGCTCTTACTGTTGCTTCCTGTGTGCTTTTCTTTCTGGCTGTTGCTTGAACACCAGCCTCTGTTCTGCCCTAATCCCACTTTGCCCAAGGCCTCCCTTATGGAATGATCTCATATCATCTTTAGGGTCAAGAGAAAATACTCCAGAATGCTCCAGGCACAGGAAGGACTGAGATAATGATTTTGATCAAACATTAGAGGGTTCTGCTTCCTTGCTATAGAAGAACATAAATGAAAACAGGTAGCCCCGGTTTTTTACTGATAAGCCATCTGCCACAAGGAAGTACGTGCAACCATTTATTTAATGAGGTGCATCAGCCTGTAGACAGGTAGCAAACACTGCCATTTGCGTAAATGGTTTACTTTTTCATTTAATCTGAATGCCATATCTTAGAAATGAGAGTCAATGGGGCAGATATTGAGTGTTGTGGGGTTTCGCCTTTACCCATGGACTCACTGAATTCAGAACAAGAGCCTAAATTGAGCATTTTCAACAATTTCTTATTGGATATTTTGCTGCCTTAAATAAGAGCTGCAAAGAAAAAGGAAGATCAAAAATGGCCAGCCTCTCATAGCCTGGTGTTTGGAAATAGCTCTACAATGGACTTTTTAAACCAGAAGGATTTATCTTGCTAGTAAAGGACAATATCTTTCAGCAGGTATCCTTAGTAAGGTGTTTCCACCCTTTGGAAATAAAGGGAAAAAACCAACAGACTAAAATGCTGTTGTTTTAATCCCATGTTCCTTGTGGACAAAGTTTTGTAACTACCAACAGAGCTGATGAATCACAGAAATCCTAAGAGATTATTCTTGAAGGCAAGGTCTATGTGGTACCTGGCTACACTCTCTTTTTCCAGCCATGAGCTGGAAATGCAAAGTAACAGGGCAGGAGATGTGAAGGAGGCCTGGCACTCAAGGGAAGTTCTGCTCCCATTTAGAGAGCCAATGAATTTGATTAGTCAAGGTGCTTGCTAGTCAATGAAAAATAAGACCTTTCTCTCACGTCTACATTATTGCTGGTGTCATATGTGATGCTCTGTTCTCATATTAGTCTAGGGACAGTTTGACGCAATTGAAGGCATCTTGAGAGTCCTATGACCTAGTCAAAAAAGTATGAGGATCACTGAAGTCATTAAGTCACCTTCTCCTCTGAAAGATGCATGGCTCTGCTGTGGTTCAAGATCTGACACCAGGTTTTTATAATAAAACTAGTCTTACGTGCCAGGATCTAAAAATGAGATCTGTTCACCAAAGTAACAACAGCAATGTTCCTGTCGTTTTTGATACACTAGCATTTCAGCTTCATTTTCTTTGGCTTCAAGTCCATTGTCAGCAAGTTAGTGTTTGCGCTACTCGTGTTGTTTAGTGCTATGTGGTGTTCCAGCAGCAGTGATCCAGCAAGTCAGGCCATGATTTTAAATGCCTCAGGGCCCAATTTTGCATGCACACAAATAAGTTTGTTCATATGTATAATCTCATTGATCTCAATGCAGGTTTGGACTTTTAAATTACATTCAGCACCTAGACTGAACTTGAATTATATTCAGAGTTATTTTGTCCAAAGCATTGGTTACAGTTACTGTTAATTCATGTTATGAAGGCTAATGTGAAGTATTTACATTTGTTCAAACAATGCAGGATAAACATTTATTAGAAATGTTAATGAACTCCATACAAATAAAATAAAGCTCAAACTCTTGTTTCTGAGATCTTTATGTCTAATTGTAAATTAAGCCTTCTGCATTGGACAATGAACTCCTTGTGTTTATTTTCTTGGCATTTTGGGTGTGTTTTCTTTTCCTAGAGACTGATTTTATAAATTCATGAGTAAGCAAGCGTATGGCTAACCTTGTTATGTCATTGTACTCTGGCACATCACAGCTGGTTAGAAGTATACACCACGTTTCACGTCACTGCTTGATATATTATAAAAACCAGTGACATACAACATTTATGCTCTGGATTACAAAAAAGAGGAGACTTTACGGGCACAGCTGAGCACCAGTATGTCTAAACTGAAGCAATTCTAAAACATTCCCAGGAAACCAAGCTCAGAGGGATACCTGCTTTCAACTCCCTTGAGCTGGAGGTGTTGGCAGGATGGTATTAGCACATCCAGCAGCACATTACAACATCCTTTGCTGGCTCTGCTGGCCCAGCAAGTTGGGCGGGAGGGGCGGCTGGCTACACTCGTGCCTCACGTTCCCTACCCACCACAGGTCCTTATGGATGAAAATCACTGGTGAAAATCAGATCTGACCCAGCCCATATACTTACACCCCAGAGCAGGTGTGCCAGCTTTTGACTTCTAATTCTAATTATGCTTTCAAAGCCTTTCTTAAAACCTGTTCTTCCCACCTAGCCTACCAGTGTTTGTTAAGGTAATGTAAACATGCTATTACACCCCGAAAAAGAAAGAAAAATCATGTTTTCTCTGTTCTTTTAACTGTGAGATTAGGCAAGGACTTGTTTTATTCATGGGTGTACACATCAACGGTATTTAAAAAAAATATATATTTAATAACTAATAAAATACGTTTACAGCTTTTTTTTTTTTTCAGTAGCCATATAAAACCAAAAACCAAAAAGGCAAATGTCCCACACTTACCAAATGCAAACTGAATTTATAAATAAATGCTATTCATTTTCTATTCTCTGTCCCCTCTTTGCACACCAGGTATCCCTGATACTCTGTGGTCGCACTCCCTCCCAGCAGTACCCAAAGGAGCCAGGGACATAAAGCCCAGCCAGCTCCAGGCTGGGACTTTTCTCAGCTCTACTGTGTAAGAAAAGAAACCAAATGCTTTGCAGTAGGCGCCACCCAAAGGGCATACAGTTTTTCACAAGTTCTCCTGCTTCATTTCAGCATAGGCAGTCAAAAATAATGCTGGTTAAATTCATTGTTGCTTCTTCTGCCAGTTGACATCACCAGAAAAAATTACATCACTTTAAAAGCAGGATGAGAAAAAACACATCCTAAGTGTCTGCTGAACGACAGATTGTTGGATGCAGCACTAAACCAGAAATTTTGATGCCCATTAACATTCTGGACTGTTTTACTAAGGCCAGGGTTTCCCTTGAGTTCGTGAATTGTTGTTTTACAAAATACATGCTTGATGTAACCAGGCACACCCATATTTTTCAGGACTATTTCTTGCCCAGCATCACTTGTGTAACACCAAGGATTTGTGGACAAATCTGAACTCACATATAGCCATGTGTGTGCTCTTTTATGTGACTTAGGTTTTGGTTGCACCTTAAACACATTTGCAGTTTCAGCCCCACTAGAATATATGTGTGTAGGACCGGGAAAGTCGCATTTTTGCCTTTACTTTTTCCTCATAATTTTTCCAAATGGAAAGCCCACATATGTGAATGCTTCTAAAGGTAAATTTCTCCACTGATTCTTTCATGATAGGAGGTAAAACATGAAAGGGGTGATCTGCCCTTCACCTCAAACCAGCAGCAGAAGGTAAAAGCCTGCTGGAGGTGCACGTACTTTTTGGCGCTGACATATAAATCCAGACATTTTCTGTGTTTTTACCACAAATGTGGAAGCATATCCTTTTCTGTGAATTCACTCTACAGGTGTAACTATTTATCTTTGCACTGGTCAAACACTGGGTCTGCCTTGCGAAATCAGAAGTTATCACCACAATTAATGCACATGGATGGACACATACACACATACACACACATACGCTGACTGATGTGGCAGCAGCTGCATTTTATTCTGCAGTCTTGACAACCTCAGCCTGGT